ACTTAAAAAAAAAAAAAAGAAAAGAAGGATGAAGCAAAAGGATTGCCACGAGTTCAAGGCCAGCCTGAACTATGTAACTAGATCTTATCACCAGAAGAAAAGTAACAAAAAAATTAAAGCAAATGATTAAAATATGTAACATGTAGCAATAGCACCAAGTTCTTTTCCTTTTCTTTTTTGATACTGGAGACTGAATGCAGGGCCTTCACAGTGAGTTAAATTCTCAGCCATTTTTTATTATTTTGAAAGCGAGTCTCACTAAATTGCCCAGGCTGGGCTTGAACTTGCAATCCTCTTGCCACCACTTTCCAGAATGCTCAGATTGTGGACGCATCTCACCACATCCTGCTCCAAATCCACTTGAAAGGATATCACTTACTCAAAAAGAACTTTGCTATGGCAATGAAGATAAAAAAAAAGCATACAAGCCTGGGCCATTTCTAGTTCTGAATGTAGACCAGCTCAGTGGAAATGGCCAGAGGCACTTACTTGTCAATGGAATAAAAGATTCCTCTGTGGTCTGTAGTCTCCACTTTAGCACCCCTACATCACTGTTGACTGGAAATGACTTTTCTGGATTCTTCAAGCCGATTAGGGACTCTGACGTGAAAAGTTTTTTGTCCACATTTGGATGGGTCTGGAATTACAAGGAAAGGAAAAATGAGATTCAGAAATGGTAAGACAGGAAATAAACCCTCTTTGGGGTTCCATACACTATGGACTAAACATCTAAAATATGGTACCTAATAAATTCCCTCCCTTTGTTCCAATACTGGAGATTTAACCTAGGGCCTCACAAATATTAGGCAAGTGCTCTACAAGTAAGCCTCTTTTTTGAGACAAGGTCTTGACAAGCAGTTGAGCCTGGCCTTGAACTCACTTCCAGGCTGGCCTCGAACTTACGGTAATCCTCCTGCCTCAGCCTCCCAAGTGCTGGGATTACAGGTGTGTGCCACCATGCCCAGGCCCAACTAAAGTTTTAATTACTACATTTTATGTTTTTTTTTTTTGTTTTTTTCCGGTACCGGGAATCGAACTCACAACCTTGCGCTTACCAGGCAGGCGCTGTGCCGCTGAGCTAAATCCCCAGCCCCTACATTTTACGTCTTTATTTGTTCTTTTTTGTTGTTGTTTTTTCCTGTACTGGGAATCGAACACACGACGTCGTGCTTCCAGGCAGGCACTATGCCGCTGAGCTAAATCTCCAGCCCCCTTTTTTGTATTTTTGAAACAGGGTTTTGCTATACAGTTCAGGCTGGCCTTGAGCTCACTTTGTAGCCCAGGCTGGCCTCGAACTCACAACAATCCTCCTGCCTCAGCCTCTTGAGTGCTGGGATTATGGGCATGCACCACCACGCCCGGCACACATTTTATGTCTTTGAAGAAGGAAAATCTCTCTTTAAAAATTAAAAATGGGGGCTGGGGGTATAGCTCAGTGGCAGAGCATTTGCCTGGGAAGCACAGGGTGGTGAGTTCGATTCTCAGTACAAAAAAAAAGAAAAAAAAATTTTAAATGGTCAGGCCTGGTGGCGCACGGTTTTAATCCTAGCACTTGGGAGGCTGAGGCAGGTGGACTGCTGTGAGTTTGAGGCCAAGACCCTATCTCAAAAATAAATAAATAAATAAAAAATAAACTAAAATGTAGCTGGGCAAGGTGGCACATGCCTATAATCCTATCACTCAGAAAGCTGAGGTAAGAGGATCACCATAAGTTTGAGGCTATCCTGAACTACATAGCAAGAGCCTATCAAAAAAAAAATAAAATAAAATTAAAGATCAATAGCCAAGTCCTTTACAAGGGTCACACAGCAGTGATGGCCTTATACAAACAGGCAAGAGAGAAAAAGCTGTGTAAAACCTAGTTATAATTTTGCCTAGGGAGCTAAAGTTGTTCAAACTCAACCCAACTAAGAATAGAATCTTTTTTTAAAAAACATTTTGGTTTTTTGAGGCAAGAGTTTTACTATGTAGCTCAAGCTTGAACTCATGGACCTCCTGCCTCAGCCTCCTAAATGCTGGGATTATAGACATGTGCTACCAAGCCTGATTCTAATCTTTTTTAAAAGAAACTGTGGTGCACACCCGTGATATCCATGATTCCACTTATTCTGGACGCTGAGGCAGGAGGACACAAATTCAAGGCCAGTCTGAACAACTTAGTGAGACTCTGCCTCAAAGATAAAAACAGCTGGGATGTAACTCAGTGGTACAATACTTGCACAGGATATACTGGGTTCAACCAGAAGATTCTGGGTTCAACCTCCACTAGTACCACACATACACACACAAAAACAAATTCTATGAGGAAAAAAGAAAAAATAAAGTTACTTTTGTATAGCAGTCTACGTATACTGTAACAGCCAGCAAGTTGTTGTTAAATAATATAACCTCACTTCCAAAAGACAAGTCACAGAGGCCAGGCACACATGCCTGTAATCCCAGCACTCGAGAAGCCAGGCAGGAGGATCAGTGTGATTTCGAGGCCAGCTAGGGCTACAGAGTGAGTTCAAGGCCAGCCTGCATAGTGAAACCCTCCCTCAAAAAGACTAAATAAATAAATAAATAAATACCAAAAAAAAAAAAAGACAAGTCAATACTGATTATGAGAAAAGTAGGCAAAAACACTGTATACAAGTAATGCTTTGTATTTGTGACAACAGACATTAAGATCAACCATCTAACTAAAATGAGATCAGAAAAACGTTATGGTTCAAATGTATGCAACAGCTGCAACATACAGATTTATTTTGTAATGATGTTATGAGCTTTTCAAATCAGCTTTTTTTACTGAGCTTTTCAACAGTAGATATTGCCATTCAGCTAATAAAATAAGCATTGGAAGCTAGGTGTGGTAGTGCATGCCTGTAATCCCAGCACTCAGGAGGCTGAGGCAGAAGAATTGTTGCGAGTTCGAGACCAGCCTGAGCTACAAAGTGAGCTCAAGGCCAGCCTGAGCTGCATAGCGAGACCCTGTCTCAAAAAGCCAAAGAAAAAAAAAAAGCAGTGATAGTTTACAAAGGGACAGAATGACGAATATTATTTTTTGGTACCAGGAATCAAACTCACAACCTTGCGCTTGCCAGGCAGGCACTGCGCTGCTGAACTACATCCTTGGCACAGAATTACTAAGTTCAGTATGTTCTTATTAAATTATAAGATCTTGGGGGTTTGTGTTTATTTTTGAATGGTGAAGAGATCAAATCCAGGGCCCTTCCCAAGTTAGGCAAGAGCTTTACCACTAACCTATAATCCTAGCTCTCAAATCTTACATTATTTTTTTTTTGTTTTTATGTTTGTTCAATAATGAGATCAAAACTGGAGATATTCTACCACTAAAGTAGATCCCCAACCCTTTCACTTTTTTTATTTTAAAACAGGGTCTTACTAAGTTGCCCAGGCTGGGCTTGCATTTGCAATCCTGTTGACTCAGCCTCCCGAGGAGCTACGATTACTGGCATGTGTCATCACACTTGTATCTTAGCATTTTGGGAGGCTGAGGCACAGTGAGCACAAATCTGAGCCCAGCCTGGACAGCTTAGTAATTTAGTGAGTCCCTGTCACAAATAAACAATAAAAAAAAAAAAAAAAAAAA